TGAAGATATGTAGATATCACTTTCAAAGTGTCAAAAACAGAACATATCTCTAGCTTCTTCACACGCATACATAAACTCGCTGGTAGGATCAGCTATGTTAGATTGGAAAATAAAACAAACAGAAGAAGGTGGACTGTACACCAGCGTTTAAAAAAAGCCAACACATTCTGCTAATAGACATTTGGACTTTAATTCATCTCATCCGTCAGTTATCTGTCAGTAAAGGGTGGCTTAGTTAAATGTCTAACAAACCGAGCAATAACACTGAGCAGTACAACAAAAAACCTAAATGATGAAATGAAACAGATAGAAGAATAGCTGGTTGGTGTTAAATAACTAACTATCCTATAAAATTCATGAGGAATATCGAAAAATGTCACAAGAAAAATAAAATTAATGGTGAAACTAGTAATGATAAAATAATAAGGAAGAATGTAGGGTATCTACAGTCTAACCATTTAAGGAGGGGGACATCTGAGACACTACGTAAGATTCTTAACCCGAAGCAGGAGTTCGGGTGTTATTTAGACCTACAAACTCACTCAGGTGGACAAGCTCTGTACGTTAAAGGAGCCGGTGGACCCAGTTAGAGAAAATAACATTATTTACAAATTAATTTGCAATGACTGTGAGTTAGGTCAACTAGTAGATCGACTGTAGCCAGATTATCAGAACATAAGAATTTAGAAAAGGTAAGAATGATTGATCCCACAAAGATAAGTAATTTAGAAAACAGTTTAGCAAATGTACTGCATGCATTAACACACAACCACACAATAGGGTGGGAGATGGTTAAAATGCTAAGAAGTAATATGGGTAGGTGGAGAGCAACGAAGTTTGATTTCTGAATCCTTGTTCATCTAGTCTACACCAAACACATGCAATAGGAATAACTCATCACTCATACCGGAGATATGGAAAATACTACTACCAACCAAATCAAGCGATGGAAAAATAATGGAATTATATAAACGAAGTTAGAAAGTTGTGTGAGTAGTGCCTTGATATGATTATGATCAGTAATAAACTGCGCTCGAAACGTGGTCATCAGTAAACATTACTGTTGATGTAACACTGTGAGACTTTATCAAAATCAATTTTATCTTCAATGGAATCCTTGGACACTAATAACGCAAAACTATCAAATCCGATGTGGAAGATTCAAGTTTTGAAGAAAATATACATAGCAAACGGACAATGGGAAAACAAATCTTCAGTGCAATTTCCCAACTCCATGTTCACCAATCTGATATTTTTATGCACATCACACTATGGAGGTATAGGATGACTGAGGCAAAGACTTGAAGGGTCCACGGAAATAATCGAATGAATGAATGAATCAGTTTGAAGACATGGTTATGTCACAAAATGTGAAACAGCATTATTTACTGATTGACGCTCATAATTATATCAAGCATAACTAAACAACCTCTAGACTTGGATTTTCACAGTTAAGTTAATTTCTTCTATAGAAAATCCAAGGCAGGAATTAAGATACAGAAGAGAAGCTTTGAAAATGTATAATTATCCTCATAAAATAATTAGGAAGTAGGTAGGAAATTATAAAACTAAAATTAGTAGTAATATTAGTATTCAGGACAACATACATGATAGATATACACAGAAAGGTGATAACACCGATGATAAGGGATTTAAAACATCCGTAGTGCTTCTATACAAGGAAGGGATGTTTGATGGCTTACGTAGAATTCTCAACAAAGCAGGAATAAGGTGACATTTCAGCCCAAGAACTTACTCAGAAAACAGTGACTTACGCTGAGGAGTCCTGGGGAATTCATTAAACATAATAATATAGCTTATCGATTAGCCTCTAATAGGTAGTCAAATCAATACCTCAATTTCATCGGCTTTGAAAGGGCTTTCGACAGACAGCGTAGACCCAGAAGTAATTTGGAAACTAATTCAACACTATGGTGTGCAGTGCCGCAAATCTTTATCAACCTCATTCAACAGCCATGTGACAACGGAACATATCAGGTGATCCACAGACGGTGTCTGAGGTGAATACGGTAGTAAGACAAGTGTGCCTATTATCACCGACGACATTTCTAATTGTGGTGAACTGGATTATGCGTCAGACGGTGCAGTGGGAGTGAGGAGACAGACGTGCGTTGAACTGATAAGAGGACTCCATCTGGAAGATCTGGATTTTGCAGATGATTTGTGTTTAATGTCACATGAATTTGAAGACTTTCAGGCGAAAACCAACAAACTTGCTGAAAAAGCTGGCAGCGATGACAGGACGGCAGGCGAACATAGAGAAGATGTAGGTGATGAAGATAACCGAAGAACCGCAACAACAACGACAACCAGCACGAATCATGGTCAGCAGAAGAGATTCGAAAGAGGTAGCTTCATTTACTTATCTGGCTAGGAAGCAGAGTTTCAACCATAGGCTGTCGGAACGCTGCTGCTGCTGCTGCTGGATTCAACATAGAACTTGGCACTGAAGTGCAGCAGTTCGAGTTGCCACGTTCCAAATAGCACACAAAGGTAGACAGGAAAATGAGTGAAGAGAATCAATAGAGTTTTGACAAGTATAAGAGTGAAACAGAATGAGTAATGGTAGAAAGGAGTGTGAAGGTTAAAGAGACTGAATACATCTGCGTGAGCCATTGATAACGATTTTGAGCCATGTCACCTATTGTCTCCAGCCATTGATTATTAGAGTCCCGAGGGCGGGCCCCAACCCGGAAGTCTGCATCTCCCTACCTGACTCAGCTTAACTGTCAAGGATTTCATGGATTGATGCCATGTTTTTGTTTGGCCACCACTTACTCTTTTCCAACCTGCACCTATATCAGCTAGTAATGCCCGTTGGGGGAGGCAATGGCTGGGCATGCGCAGCACGTGACCTAACCATCTCAATCTATGTAACTTCATAGCCTCTTCGAGTCGGAACGCAGGAAGATGTCAAAGCCAGCTGGAATCGGAAATGCAAGGTATACCTTCAAGACTGTGAAATCAGTTTGGAAATTTACTGAACTCTGCATAAAGAACAAAATTCAGGTTTTCAACACAAATGTGAAGTCAGTCATTCCTTCCATATGACTCAGAGACTTGGCAGGCGTGTCACGAAAAGCATTTCCAACAGACTTCTGCAGACTTCCATCAACAGCTCCATTAACTGACTCCAAACTGAAGGTCAAATAGTCGGCCCACCATAAAGAATTAGCGACAAGAAACTCTGGCTGGGAAAAAAACCAACAAGCGAGAGCCTACTGCCCAAATGGAGATGTACTGGACATACTGTGATGAGACCGCAGGTTGACATCACGCGCCAGGTCACTGCTCGAGTGTAACCCGGCATGGTAAACGACGATTGGGCCATTGGTTCGGGGTTGACTTGAAGGAGGTCGTGCGAGGAGTAGACGAGAGACTATGGGCAATCGCGAGGTCAGCTAAACAGGACCGCAAAGGACGGTAAAAAGTAGAGGTGTGTTGTTGAAGCCCTTATTTCCACTCGGAACCCAAGGGAAAATTAACAGATATCAATAATAGCCTGTAATAAGTGTGAGGTCAAATACATAGGCCAGAGTAGTAAAACGGGGTCAATTAGACTGTCAGAGCATAAATACCTAGTAAAGTGTGGATCATTTGAACATTATAAGGTAAGAAATCTAGAAAACAATGCCCAGCTATACTACTATATACAACTACACACTGTCATGCACTAGAATGGGATAAGATGATAGTCTTAAATTCTAACAAGACAAGTTGAAGGGGTAGATTGATAACTGAGGGCTTCATTTGTTGAACCAATTAAGAACGCGTGCAGCAAGAATAACTCAACACCTATTCCGCACATCTGAAAAATTCAACTACCTCTACGCCTAATAGGAAGGCATAAAGACAACAAGACAAGTCCAAGTTTCAAAGCTGTCTAGCTACAATTGGTGATATGATTATGAAGAGTAAGTTCTGCCTAGCACCGGTGGCGCCGAGGTAGAATGCTCGCCAGTCACTCAGGTTGGCCCAGGGTCCAATTCCCGGCCAACGCAATCCCAAATCTCGCTTAGTTAGTAATAAGCCTGGCAAAGAGGGAAGCATGGGCGGGAGACTAGCAATCCCACCGAGTAAAAATGCAAACACTGCTACGGAAACTTCAAAGATCGGGCTTGAAGCAGCCCTATGTTCCACTGGGGACGCAAATGAATAAAAAACAGTTGTATCTGAAACCCTGTCTTCGAGTAAATGATACTGCTCCACTCACTGTGTGATATATATTCAGTAAACAAACTAAGACGGAATTACATACTACTATAGTGCCCAAGTATTTTTAGAATTTTTAATATACTTGTGCGCTGAAGTTTTTGTAGCAGTTTGGTTAAATTTTGGGGGTGGAGTTGCTAGCACCACGCCCCAACCCTCCCTCTTTATCCGGGCTTGGGGCCAGCTAGAAAACTAGTGACCTAGTAATCTAGGCCCTCGAGTGGAACCCGAAAGGGAAGCAGCGAGTGGGACGTCCAAGGGTGACATGGAGGAGATCGTGTGAAGAAGAGTTGAAACATAATGGAATAACATGGATGCAAGTGAAAAGTATAGCAGAAGACAGAAACAAGTGGAGACGTGTAGTTGAAGCTCTATGTTCCACTAGGAACCCAAGGGAACAATAATAATAATAAATATAATATAGTGCCCAAGTTCTACACACACACACGCTAATTGAAGACAGAGCCTCCGTACAAGAAATTCACAATTGGCAGAGCAGTTGGCAATTCACAGCGTATATCAGTTTGACAGGTAAAATTTTCACCGAAGTTTCATTTAGAAACTAAATCATTCAGATCACAGTGGATGGGATCTGCTTGATACCGGCAAGACAGCGAGCACTACTAGTTGATATGTCTGGTACGCAACTACTCATTTCAATTAGTCAGTAGTATAGAACTTTACGCGTTAAGCGTTAATAAAATGATCGATAAAATCAATAAATTTAAAAATTAGGGCGGTGGGTGAGTGGGAAATAATCGACTTACATCCACCGTAATTTGATTTTTCAGCCTGTCTTCTTAATATCTGTTGATGTTTCAGTGTAGCCTGCCCACTTTTAGTATGAGTTATATCGACTGGAGCTGAAAAAGGCTGAAAGGCAGTCTCGTAATCACTATCCCCAATGCGTGATATCCGATGACCTGGTGATGTTGACCATGTTGCGTGTCGTTCATTTTCATCCAGTCTTGTAGGAAGTTTGGTGATGGCAGCTGTAGTAGTGGTAGTAGTGGTAGTCATCTGTGGTGTCATCGTTCGACCATTGGTTGTTGTTGTCGTAGTAGTAGTATTCATGGAAGCTGAGTGCTTTTCTCTGTTCATATCTGTCGTCTCACTGACAGTTCCATTCATTGCTATTGTTATGTTAGCAGGCGCAGAGGTTTGTTCCAGTTCGACAGTGGTTGTTGTTGTGTCTGTCTCGCCTATTGTTGTTGTAGTAGTAGTGGTAGTGTTACTTTTCGCCTCTTTAGTGATATCATCACTCATATAAGGAGTTGTTGACCCTGCATGGTAGGTGTCATTATCGGCAACCAATGAACTGTCCACATCCAACTGTTCATAAACAGCTCGTTTTCGTTTAACTGAACGCTTTGAGTGGTAGTCTGCAATTTGACCATTTGGTGATGTATATACATGCGGTAATGACGGCATTTTTCAGGACGGTTTTTCCCACGGATAATCAGGCGAATTGTAACACCTAAAATTCAAAGTATATTTTAAAAAAAAAGGAATTAGTAAGAGAGATATTTTCATTTAGCATGTTAAACAAGCGAAATCGCTAGAGAGAAACTTTTGAAAATTAATCTTACATGCTCACTAGTGACTGGCTATAGGATAATAAAGTTGCACGGAGTTCTAATGAGAAGGTGTGACCAGTGTGGTTTACCCAGTTGGGAGTGTAGACATATACTTGCCTCTGATGACACTGGCTGGTGGATGGTGATGAAATCACGAATTGGAAAAAGTTAGAATTCGTGGATTTTCAAGTATTGGTTTTGTAGGGATTTTAAAACAAGCAACAAAGGTTAATAAAGCAGGATTTAATGATGGATTCATCAATTTTCGGTAGAACTCGTCAGCTGAATACTCTACATACACGGATATATATGCATGCTGTTGAAATTACATTGAGAGATATAAGACTGATAAGTGAACAAACTACATTGAATTAGTCATGCAGAAAGACAGGTGCGAATGTTTTTCCAGGGCATGTTCAAATAGATAAGGGGAGAGAGAGTATGAGAGATCAAAATTAAGATAAATTGTATTACGCTTCAATTACATTACTTAGATAAGCAATTAGACATTAGAGAATATAACAAAAATTGCAAACAGATTAGTATCAATAGTAATAGTTATAATAATAATAGTGTTGAAGTGAGTAAAGATAATCCTACTGATAAAGGATAATTTTAAATGAATCAAGAATAATAATGATAATAATAATAATAAGAGGTGGAATAATAAGTAAAACGTATTACCATGGTAGATTCAGAGTGAGGACCATCTCCTTTTGCACACAGAGACCTGGTTTATAAACTCGAATTGCACAAGCCTCCTCGGCAGTTGCAAGCATCTTCCTGTTTCTTTGTCTGCTGACAATAGTGAATGACTTGACCGCGTCGATATCATGTCCGTAATCCACAAAATGTTTTGTTGTTGAGGATTTCGGCACTTTGCACTCAGCGGTTTTCAAGCATTTTGGCAAATGCTCCATCATGCGAGTAGACAATCGCCTTTCCGTACGACCTATGTATTTGCTTCCACAAACACACTCAAATTGATATAAGCAGATTGAAGTGTTGAGGATTGTTGAAGCAATAATTTAATGGTGTTAAGGAAAAGAAGTTTCTCAGCATAATGAGTTCTCTTGATGGCTTTGTCAAGTCTTCGTTTGACTTCTTCCTGTACATCATCTCCTTTGAACGGCAAATTGATATAGATAGGTTTCTACGGAATTGTTTGGATTGTTTTGCAGGGGCTATTTTCTTTAGAGTATTTATTAATAAACTTCTCAGGATATCCATTCATAGATAAAATATCCTTCACAGATTTTATTTCATGCTCAACAGTACTGTCATAGTTCTACTGAAATTTGATGAATTTTTATTAAATCCTGATTTATTAACCTTTGTTGCTTGTTTTAAATTAGTATCTGGAAATAAATGTTTTCAATTCTTGTAGGGATTTTGTTTGATTAGCTGGAGGATTTCATCATGAGCTGACATCAGTGAGGGATCCACTGGAATACCAGCTAAGAGTACTGGACAGCCAACTGTTTCGTCCTAGTTTGGGACTCTTCATCAGTACACAACCAACCAGGACCTTCTGGTGACAAATCGAGCTGGCCTTGAGTCCCAAACTAGGACGAAACAGTTGGCTGTCCAGTACTCCCAGTTGTTTTTCCAATGACTCTCTAGCTGATGTCAGCTCATGATGAAATCCTCCAACCAATCAGACAAAATCCCTACAAAACCAGTACTTGAAAATTAATCTGATGCTCACTAGCGACTAGCACTATTCAGGTAGGCAGTTACCTGAGGTTCTAGTGGGAAGCCATGAGCCGTAGAATACGGCAGGTTGAAAATGAGGCAGTAACTCATCGAAGAAGAAATCTGCGAAGTGGTCGCGCTATGTTATGAATTGGTAGAAGTGAGAATTCATGCACTGGCCATTGGATTGGGTTCTGTTGGCTAAATTGTTTACAGGCTCGCTGGCCTTGTGACCAGAAGATCCTGGGCTAGAACCTCTGTGGTGTGTCAGTGCTGACAAAGAGTTCCAAACTGTAGGGACCAAACATCTATCCAGTACTCCCAGCTGGTTTTCCAGTACTTCTCTAATTGGAGCCGGCTCATGATGAAATCCTCCCACCAATTTGTGGTTTATTGAGTCGGCTGTCAGTGGCTAAATGGTCGACTTATAACCCGAAGGTCCTGAGTTCGAAACTTAGTAGATGCGTAATGTCTGTGAGTCACAAGTTAGGACGAAATGTCTGTTCAGTACTCCGTCCTGGTTTTCATTGATTCTCTAAGTGATATCAATCCGTGATTAAACGTGAGACAGATCACATGTGTCAATACGCATCGGTCATCAGTACGTTGGTGGCACAGCGGTAGAATGCTCGCCAACCACACAGGTAGTTCGGGGTTTGATCCCCGGCCGACTCACTCCTTCACCTCACCAAGCTAGTAGTAAGACTGGTAAAGAGGGACGGTTGGGCATGAAGCTAACAAGCCCATGCTGTAAAAATAAACACCACCGCTACAGAAACTTCAAGCCTTTAGCTTGAGGCCTTATGTTCCACGCAGAACGTAACAGAAAAAAAATCAGTAGTTCATATATCAACAGTAATATTATGTTCAGAACAAGTAAAGCGTGCTGTACACCATGAGCCACATTTTACCATAGATACCAGTCTTTCTACTTCCCACTTTCCCTCCGAAGGGCACAACTAACACACAGTTGACCTGATCTGCATGTTAAATCAGATGATACTCAATTATCTAAGGGATATTGATTGGCGCCTCTTGTAGATTAACTCTGGGATATTTGAAAAACAAATCTGAGGTATTAAAGCTCCTCTCACCTCAATAAGCACACTACAATCTAGGTCGATAAATATAAAGTAATGTTAGAGAAATGATACTTTAAATTAGCTGGCAAGGATATGGGCACTGTGATCTGGTTAGACTTACTCAGATGAGTCTAAATGGGTGCACCACTAATGAGCACAGTTACAGTCTAGGCAGTGAACATCACTGGTCAGTATGAATGACTTCCAGCTTCTCTTAACAAGCCAATATCTCTCAGCTGGCTAATTCGTTCACACAATCTTCACATGCTAACGGACATAAACCGCTTAGTGGCACTCACACTGTAAGATGGTGGTGATCTAATCGCTAGTGACAACGTCATTCACCGTTATCACAATTTCATCAACACGTGAAAATAAAATTGGAAGATAGACAGTTAACCGAGAGTTTCTTCTGTATTGAATAACACTCAAATTAACTGACAGTGATGCTCATTGTCCTTCCAGACAAAATGTACACGCGTACTGAAAGGACAGAAAGAATTATGCAGGTGGCGATAAGAATAACGAAGGTAGTAATACGTGTGTGTTGTGTGCATATGTAGACAATTCAATAAATAAACAAATTAGGTTAAATCTTTAAAGTTACGCAATACTAAAGGTGAAGCGGATAGATAATCAGAGTTTAAATAAATATCATAAAAGTACGAAAGAAATGGAGAATAAGAAAGGACTGCAGGGTTTTGATTAGAATTTTAACTAGTCTAAACAAAGGAAACACAAAGGTAGAACAAACTTCTTTTGTTGTATGCAAAGACACTAGGATTGTTCTCTCGAATTAATTCCCATAGCTTCGGCTATGTGTAAAAGGGGAGGAGTTCGAATTTCGTTTGAAAGGTCGGATGGAATGTGTGATAGATAACTTTGAAGGTACTTCCTCTGTCCACTTGGTAACCGCTATTATCAATCAACCTGAGACAAAGTAGAACTTCTCATAGATTTTACTTGGTTATTTCCGAACCATGAAGGAAGATGCTCAGTGATACAAATGTTGAGCTGTCTAGTTGTTTGCCCTATATAGCTTTCTACTCATGAACAGCTAAATTTATCAATACACATAGAAGTGGCACAGTTAGATAGCTTGTCTTTCGCTTGAGCAATCATAATTAGTCGGCTGGAAAATGATAAAAAACGGCGATGGCAGTATAATTCCGGTTTTATTCCTATCCATAATCTTAGATTATTGTCATTATCATTACAGTTTCTATAATTTGATCCACAAACTCACTGTCATTGGCTAAAACATTTTTTTATATATAACGCCATGTAAATTACAGTAAAGCCTGAAGAAGATCTAATTGAAAACAGCAATAGTGTTCGCTTATGTGTCTTGTTCTAATATTACAGGTAGAACTGATGAGATCTAATTGAAACCTACAACAACAGGTCAGTACACTCAACTTTTGAGTTTTGTACTTTTGAAATATAAACGCGTAACCTGGTAAAGTGTTTGGTTCATAGAGCTAGGTTAATCTGTTCAGACGACTGCCTCAATGAGGAGCTTAAGATTATTAGAGAATTACTTAGAACAAACTGGTCATCCAGATAAGTTCATTGAGAAAAATATGAATTCAACACCCTGGAGAGTCAGTATGGCAACAGTTCCGAAAAAACCACTGCTCATAAAACTACAGTTCCTCGGTGACAACATCAGCGAAATAATAACACAGAGCTTGAAGAATCCAGTTAAAAGAGCTTATTATGCAGCAGAGGTACATTGTCTCTTCACAACCCTCACCCCATTCTACGTTTGAGAAATAAGCATAAACTACCTAAATTTGCCTCTTCTATGTGTATCTACCTGTTTGACTTCAGCTGCAGAGCTTGTTACATCGCGCGTACACTTAGGCAGGTTCATCATCGTATTTCCGAACATCATCCAGCATGGTTAAGCAAGAGACAAACAAGATCTTTTCGTAGCTCTATTTTAGCATACCTTGTAGAAAGTGAGCATAAGGTTGACGTTGATACTGCATTTAAAATTATCTATCGCATTCCGACCAATCTTAATTTTGCTCTACGAGTTCGTCTTCTACATACCTACAGCTGAAGCAATAGG